TCTTAAATGTACAGGTCAATCGCTTCTGGTGTGCACGTTACAAACTGGTACCGTAAGCCCAGTAACAAAAGTATTCTTGTTCACTCGCTTTCGGCTCATCCACCATGGACAAAGAAGGCAATTATAAACAACATGTTTCGCACTGCTTCTCAAGTCTGCAGTGGTCCGAAAGAGAACGCAGAATCGATAGCGTTTGCCCGTAGTATAGCGCCTTCTAACGGATATAAATATCATGCAGGAAGAACAAAGAGGAGCGATAAATATTGCGTACAAATAGGTGACCCTCATGTTATCAAAAAGGTTGTCGGTATTGTCGGTGTTGTCGGGGTTTTGCGTTCCATACAAATTTAAAGCATTTTGCGTTCCATACAAATCTAAAGAAGTGAGCACATCCTTGCGACAATGCTTGAAGAGAATCTTGATGCTTGAAGAACTGTGGCCGTATTCATCAATGAACCCAGTGGATTCCGGAACCCACTGGATAGGCTTAACCCACTAAATTAGTATTCAGAAGCTAGTGGGTTCGCGTACTCAATAATGCTTTTTGTGAATATCGATCCAATACAGCGGAATTGTCGCCTACCCACTGGGTAGCGGAACCCGCTGGGTTCGTTGATGAATACGGCTACTGGTAAAATTGTAGAACTACGACCAAACCGAATAACTTAAAGATTATTTTAGTTCGCAACTGCGTGTATGATCGCAATTGCGCCACCCCGAGTTGCATAATCTGCCCTAGAAGCGAAGGAGATTGCATGGCGACTGGGGTCATCTATTCAATCTCATGCACGGTTTGGACCGACGAGTACATAGGTGGAAAAGCACGACCACTATGTTCCGTATTAAACAGCATCGACGACAGAGATAAAGCACGTACAACGATACCCCTAGGCACTCACAGAGTATTGCAACATTTAGGCTCAAACTTTGGAATTTCGGTGATCTTAGCATATCAATCCCAAACACAGGCAGTTTACGTCTGGAAGCATTTTGCATTCATGCAAAGAACCCAAAAATGAATTGAAAAGAAGAAAATGCAATTACGCATGAGCTCTCACCTTACCTAGATCACTTATTCTGATATAGCAGTATATAAAGAGCGGTCTGCATACATGTCTAATAAGTCAACTTCCTGTAGCGGCGGACTACGTAAACCTCCAACTTTTTCCTTCATAGAGAAGTATTGTGGTAATCCAGAGGGTGCGTTCTTGTACGTGCAGCTGAATTGGTGATCGAAAGCAAGGTTTAGCGCTTCAGTTCAGTTGTAAGGATACTTGTTCGAATCGGCTGCAGATCGTTTTGTCCCTTACAGACTCTGACGGAGGCGATCTGCCTAAAGATTGACCTTACTTACTCTACTTAAATGGCCCATTTTAACGTGGCGTACGGGCCTCAGCATAAAAGTTTTCATCGATCCCTGTCCCTCGCTTCAGACATCCACGATCTTCTTGGTTGACGTCGGTGGCTGCGTCCACGAGTTCCAGGTGCGAAAATCATATCCAGCTGATTTCTCAACTGGTCCATCCGTTCCACGAACGCTCTGCCCATCTCGTTGGTGGTCTTCCTTGGGGACGTTTGGCTTCGTGAAGAATCAACTCCGATGTTCTTATGTCCATCTGTCGTCTGTTCTTCTCATGGTGTGACCGTCCCATCGGCGTACTGCAAAGTCCGACTAGATGTTGCTTGCGTCGGGTCATCTTCAGAAGACTGCGCTCGAGCGCTCTGTGGGTGGTCCGTAAAGCTTTCGACGTGACTACAGTGTCGGCCCAAGTCTCAGCTGCGTAACAGAGCGCCGGGAGAACGGTTGAGTCGAACAGGTGAGCACGAAGCTCCTGGTCCGTCAGTTGGTCTGGCTTCCTTCAGAGGCCCGAAGGCGGCCCAGTCTGCTCTTCTTCTCCTGTTAAGTTCCTCCCTCAAGTCGTTCTCCATGCTCACCGAGCGTCCGAGGTACACGTAAGAAGACGTCTCAATAATAGGGGTGCCTTCCAATTCCATTTCTGCATCTTCGCAAAAGGCTTCTTTATGAACTGAATCTTCTTCCGATTCTTCCGATCCGCAATCCGATCTTCTTCCCTACTTCGTTCAGTTCCTTCAGCATCGTCTCTGCTCTAGTGATACTGCTCGAGAAGAGAACGATGTCGTCCGCAATACGAAGGTTGGACAGGAATCTCCCATCAACTCGAATGCCTCTCTCGTCCCAGTTCAGTGACTTCATCACCCACTGCAAGGCCGCGGTGAACAGCTTCGGCGAAATAGTGTCGCCTTGTCGAACTCCCTTCCCAATTGGAATGGTCAGTGGGCGATGGAATAGCTGCATCGTTGTTGTACAGTGCTTGTAGCAGTCGGCTGGTGTCCTCACGTAAGCTGGGTCCACTCCTTGATCGACTAACGCAGACAAGGTGGCGTTGGTTCCGACGCTGTCAAAGGCTTTCTCGTAGTTGACGAAGCTTGAAACGAGAGGCAGTCGATACTCCCGGCAGACTTCTAGGACCCTTGAAACAGCCTGGATGTGGCTCATGCAACCGAATCCTTTGCGGAATCTAGCTTGTTCTTGAGGTTGGTCTTCAACCAGTGTCCTAGATATGCGAGCGAGAATAATCTTCGTGAAAAGTTTGTAGAGCACACTTACCAGGCATACTGGACGGTTGTTCGAAGATCCTCCCGTTCGCCCATTTTCTCCTTCTGAAGGTAAGATGTTAAATGCGACGCAAGAACCTCGTGTAGCGGTGTCCTTCGGCTCGCAGAATTTCGACGGAAAGATGATCTGGTCCTGGAGCCGTGGAGGTCTTCATGGTTTGTATCGCGGTACGCACTTTAGCAAGTAGAATCTTTGGTGGTATTTCTCCAGTGGGAACAACGGGCATCTGCACGGGTGTTGATGAGCGGAAGAGGTTGGTGTAGAAATTCTTCGCGATAGGTTCCATCTTGTACCGGGAAGAAGTCTCAGTCCCGTCTTCGTTCAATAGTGCAGCCACCGGTACGTGACATTCACAGAGACTTCGGCACTTCTTGAGACTTCGCCTTCCTTCGGCTGCTTCCAGTACCTTGGCTTGCCTGTACTTCCTGAGATCCTCCTGCAAAGCTGTTCTGCAACTGGCGTTGGCTACCAGTCGCTCGAGGTGAGTTGCATTGGATCCTGCTTCAGAGATCTTCATCTTCTTCTTTCGGCAATTCCTTGGTGGTCTTCGAGATGCGTTCCAAGTTCTTCTCGGAAGTCACTGAGGCGCACTCTCCGCAGGCTCGCAATCCTTTCAGAACCCGGTCGTAGTCGTACGTTGGGTCCTCCTCGATGGGCCAGTCACAACTTGATATGAGCTCTTTTAACCTGTTACCATCATAAACGACTTCTTTCCTTCTTGCGGCGCTGTGGCAGACTTTCTTTTTCAGCTTTCGACTGAATCGTATCTTCTCTCGAAGGAGACGGTATCGGAGCCACTGCAGAAGGATGGAAGTACTGAGACATCGAGCAAGCTCCACCTTCGGTTGGTGAGAATGTGGTCGATCTCAGCATGAGTCGTACCGTTGGGCGATTCCCAAGTCCACCGGCGATGTTCTTTCTTCATGAAGATGGAATTTCCATGAAAAGTCGTGCGGCGGAGAGAAGCCCAACGAGACGGTTGCCGTTTTCGTTCCGAAGCCCATATCCAAACTTCCCAATCCTATATTCCTCTTCTAGTGGTATCCCGATCTCCGCGTTGAAGTCGCCCACAACGAACTTGTAGAAGGACTTCTCGTTGCGGACGACCTGCTCCACGTCTTCGTAGAAAGCATCTAGCTCTAAATCGTCAGCTGCTGATGTTGGCGAGTAGCAGTTGATGATGCTAATGGTCTTCTGACGTAGAGGTCGTGGAGTGAATAAATTAGTTACCGAACTGGTGTGTGGCGAAAGAAAAAACAAAGTATTATCATCTTGCCGAGATTTTCGAAAGTCGCACCGTTCGAGTATTGTAACCGTTCCTTCCTGAGCATGAATTTATGTGCCTGAATACTTTCTGGCAGCTTTTTTTCGTTTCCAGTGACGTTACTGATATTACAGCTGTGCTTTCTTTCGATTTCAGTGATGCTACGGCATATCAACTGGTGCTCCTTTTTGTTTTGCAGATTTTTGAAGATCAAAAGAGAAAGTAGAGATGTTTGTTTTAAAAAAAATCACTACTGAGAGGAAAACAATGATGAACGAAAGCAAAGAATTTCTGTTGGGTGCAAACTTTTGTATACTGAATATGGGGCGTCGCGCATCGCGGACGACTTGCCTCGCGCGCAACGAAAATTAGCCTTATGACTCAAAAATAGTTATACATACAATACCGCTCTCAGAACGTGCAAAATTTCCGTAAATGTCGCGGAAACCCCGGAATTCTGCGAAGGACCGCGAAATTTTCGGAATTTCGCGACATTTCCGGAATTTCGCGACATTCCGGGAATTTCGCGGTCCTTCGCGGAATTCCGGGGTTTCCGCCACATTCACGGAAATTTTGCACGTTCTGAGAGCGGTATTGTATCTTGCCATTGTAATTAGATAAGGACTTTACTTAGGCAAGAGCGTGCCTTTGATAGCACATAAACTTAATGAATTTTGCAGGTTTGTGACTTGCGTCAGTTGCTGTTAATCCTCGCTGATATCACTTTGAAAATTGCTTGAAGGATCAGGCGAGCATAAGCTGAATATGGAAATATCACTTTGAAATCACCTTCACTTTGAAATCACCTAAAAGATCGGACGAAGATTAGCTGGATATAGAAAAAGTGTGAAAGCTTATTCCATGCAGACTTTCCATGTACGTACCTTCTGTTTGCTGTAGAGCGTGACTCTTGTGAACGAACGAAAAAAACGAAATTATAGAAGGTTTATTGATATAACACATATATGGCGACCAAGGCGACATAAATTGTTGCCCTGTTCAGTACTAATACTATTTAAGTATATACATTCAACGACAACAATTATTCTGCTTGTTGTTGAGTAAGTTTATCTCCACTGTTCTGTCTCCTCTTTCAATCCTATTTACTTCTCTCCTCTGCAAGAGATAGTCTTTGAACGTACAACGTAAGGCATGACACTTTTGGCAGTGAAAACCCAGTAAAATTGCTTAATCACTCCTTCACAATTTGCATAGAAACAGCGACATAACAGTGACATGTGAAAAAGCAAATATGTTCCTTGAGATGGTAGAGGTAGCCGCACCACTAAGCAGTTGCATCAGAGCCACATCGTGGCCACCGCGTTTCTAGCTTCACAAAGATCGGAGCTTCTGAAAAAATACTATATTGTGATATTGAATTAAAATGAAGGGTATACTTATTGGTGGTCGAACTAACTGGTTCATCACTAGATTATTGAAGTTTCTCAATAAAGAGGATTGAATGATGCATTGCCACTACGATGATGACTACTGCATCGTACTACAGCACAACCCATGTCGATTTTCTCAAACAGCATGCAAAAGCGAAAGCGGCGGTTTCGCTTCGAGCTGAAGGCTTTATAGCAGCCCGCTCGCTGCCAGTTCTGACACGGTTCTCAGCGGGAAGCGACAGTGAGGCGATGAGGCCACCGCGCTTTTGGTGGGTTTTTGCGGTGGCTTTGTGGCTGCCGGCTGAGAGCCTGTGATTGTCTGAGCCGTCTTACGCAATGTTAAGAAGAGATGCAAATGTTAACACGAAGCGTTTTTGGCCTTCTTGGCGTTTTTTCTGCATCCCTCTTCCAAACCAAATTTTTTAGATAAAAAACCGTTTGAAACATCCTAACGAAAAATTATGAATAAAACGGACGTTTTTTACCTCGTCTATGCATCAAATGCTTGCTGACAGGTTTCGTTGCTAAAAACGGCTCTTGGTAATGCATGCACATCATCTCACCTGCACACCACCACTGACTTGTACCGGTTTCCAAGTCTGTAGCTCAGAGCATTTATCCAGGCCTATAATACATCCATTCGAAAAAGCGAAACTTTCCCGATACGGTAACATGCAACACAGTCAAGTTCAAGAAATTCTGGAGTTTAAGTGTAGGGTCGAAAAAGCGCAGCTGGTAAGCTTGATCTTCGGGGTCGTGGAACTTCGGAGTTGAATCACTCAGATTTCCCAGATAAGTTCAAGCAGAACGTTTTCGCTACCAGTTTGATCCTGGGAACTTGGAACTGATATTTTTTCTGTAATGATTCAACTCCGAAGTTCCGCGACGGTTTCGGTGTCGATAAAAACCCAAGGCAATTTCACATCAATCACCACTCAGGCTTCGCTTTTCCCGCCGTGTCGACGAAGTTTCGCTCTTTCGAATGAGCCTACTTGCAGGCTTACGGAGTAAATGCTGATTGATCTGAATGCCTGTGAAGCGCTGTTGTTGGTGAGGTGCACGTGAGGTTGTATGCACGCGCTACCAAATTATATCAGCCGGGTATAATTTTTACAAGAAGTAATAGTCTGCATTGAAAGACACTAACGGAGTTTGGTGATCATCAGAGGTATTAGAAAAGAACATCGGCTTATTATGAGCACCGCAAACACAAGAGAGCACAGAAGTAAGAATGTTGGAAGATAGCATATAGAGTATGCGACGTTTCACAGAACAAATCAAACTCGGAAGATCTTGACCACTTACTTTTTTATTACAAGTGTGTATTTTATTTTGTTACATACCAATACAATTCAAATACTGGTAGCTTATTGCTGCGTTTAGATTTTTCACAGATTACATGGGAAAGAACGGATTACACGAAGTTTGCAAATAGCATCTGCCAGTGGCTTAGCAAGGGAAGGGGTAGGGATCTTTGGAGGGCGCCCATTCCCTGGGGTAGGAAACTAAATTTGCCAATAAGCTCCATCCCGCGCTAATAGCTAGTACAGATCCGTATTGTATGTAGTATGTATGGCTGCGTAGTTTGTTGCAGAACTCCACGTAGGACCGACCATCTCTTCCGGGACATATAGTTTTTTTACCCCATTCCCGCACTTTCAAAGATATTTTTGTTGCTATTTCCCCTTCCCCTCCCTACAACGGAAATACTGGAGCCACCCCTGGCTGTATGTTGAAGTATGAGAACTTCAAAATCGCGTGCTAAACAAGTGGATCCGAAACTTCAGACACTCTCATTGTCGGACCTTACCACTGTGACTTCAAAGGGTACGAATTTGCACGACGCCATCTAAACCTACTTAACCGGCTGCGCGGGCGGTCGCGCGCGCGTTCACTGCGCCGGCCTAGGCCTCGCTTGCTCGCGAGCATTAGTACTTGTACGATGTTACTTTCGTTGTTAAAATAGTTATAACTTGCCTCAAATGGGATTAGCATCTCGAATCGTGGTTGTTTTATCGAATTCAAGTTGTTTAGGTTTATTAAGTAGTTCAAGGAGGGCGTATTTGTTATCGCAGATCTTTTATCATTCAGCAGTATGCGCTGCGAAATAACTTGAGCGATAGAAACTTCTCTGTATTCCATATGGAGATTTTTGCAATATCTTGCTGCTAAGTTTTGTCCATTAATGTTTTCTTGCATGATGAGAGCTGATAAGAAAGGGAAATCTGGCGACCCAGCTTTTCTCAAACTTTTCGATTTCTCGCACTTCAGCTTTCACAGGGCCGACACTCGGGTTTCCGTAATATCCATTGTTCATTGTAAACTAGGAAGGTGGGGAATGGTTTCTACAATTGTGGTTATCAAACTTATACTGTGCTACCTATCTTGGATGATTCATAACCCAGCTTTGAAGAGGAAACATCCATCTTGTTAGGATCGTGTGGTGTTTTCGAGTCTCCAAGTCTCAGAATGAACACCTTTTCTTCATTAATATGTATGCCTAAGATCTTCTCCGCATGCTAGCAGATTTACAATAGTCAATGAACATTGCATGCCTATGTCAAACTGTACTTGAAGACATGAGCTCTTGGATACAAGAAACGCTTTAATCTTAACAAATCCAAGATCAGCCTGCTTAACAAAGCCGCTTTCAAACGAGAATCCTTTTATAAGCAAAATTACTATTTCTAACTTTTTCGAAGACATCGATATGTCGCATTACCGGATGCTTATCCACGTTTGTGTGAAAATTTTATCCATCTTGGCTGCCTCTGCAAATTTATGTGAATTAGATTACGCATCTGATATCAGAACATTCCGATTCGGATAATCAAAGGAAGAATTTGAAAATGCGCGTATACCTCATTGTAAAAGAATTCTTTAGCATACTTCTTACTCAAAGACAGTCAGGCACCATACGCACATCTCAGGCTTGGTACAGCCTCAAAATTAACCTCAGCGCTTCTGACTAGCAAGCAAAAACAGCAAAGAATATGAATGCTGGGCAAGCGAGGCCTAGGTCCCGGCACGCACTTCTGGTGCGCGCGTAACCGCCCGGGCAGCCACTTAAGTAGATTCAGATGGCGCCTATTTGCACATGAATTAACATAGAAAAGAGCATCACTTACTAACAATGAAATTAACACCATTTGACACCACTAAGATTTCGAAGAGTGCTCAGTAAACGCAATAACGTCGGTGTACAGCAAAAAAGTCTCTCAGCTACACAGATGAAACCATGAATATTTATCGAAGTAAAGTGTGTAAATATCCCTTTTTGGACACCTGTTTGAAACAACAGATTTCCGATTGATTTGCTCAAAAAAATCGTTCCTGCCAAATCGAGCGTCGCAAGATTTTGATGCTGTTTCCCAGGTCCTGCTGCAAAAGATGATTTCCCAGGCGCTAAAAAAGGTAGAAGCGCCAAGTTGGCCAGCTCATTAATGTGCGTGGTCTGAGGATAATGCGACGAAGTAGATTTCAAGATAGATATGAATATTAAAACTTATGATAACCCCAGATACATGAAGCCTAATTTGGACTAGTTACCTTCAAAAGGCGTACGTTTATGGAAGAGCCACAATGGCAGCTCGTATGGGCCACTACATGACGAAGGCGCAATATCTTTGAGCGCGAACACGGCTTCATTAGCCGCGGAGCGCATGAATTTACAACGGTGAGGAGCGCGCGCAGCGTACGCGCCCGCTCAACTAATACTGCTTGTGCGCCTTCGTCATGCAGCGGCCTTTACCTTTTCAGGCGACCTTTCTCTTCAGAATTCATCTTTCGCAAAAGGACTTGGTCGATAGCTTAGTCAGAAGCTTCGCTATACAGAATCAACGTTTCACCATCTTCAGTTTGGATGACTCCGGAAGGAAACCGGTTACCGTCTCGTTGGGCTTCTCTCCGCCGCACGACTCTTCCATGAAAGCTCCATCTGCATGAAGAAAGAACATCGCAGGTGGACATGGGAATTGCCCAATGGAACGATTCATGTGGAGGTCGATCACATTCTCACCAACCGAAAGTGGAGCTTGCTCTATGTCTCAGTAGTTCTAACCTTCTGCAGTGGTTCCGATCACCGCCTTCTTCGAGCGAGGATACAAGTCGTATGCTGAAAAAGAACATCTGTCACTTACCGCAAGAAGGAAGAAAGTCGTCCATGAAGGTAACAGGCTGGGAGGGCTTGTATTATGTCATGATTGCCTCATTGAAGAGGACCTAACGTAAAGCTACGACCGGCTTTTGAAAGGACTGCTAGCCTGCGCAAAGTTCGCCTCCATGACTTCCGAGAAGAACTTGGAAAGCATTTCAAAGATTACCAAGAAATTACTCGCAAGAAGAAAATCCCGAGGCAAGATCCGAGTGCATCATCCTTATCTCCTGCGACCGGTAACCAACGCCAGTTGCAGAATACCTTTGCAGGAGGATCTAAGAAGTACAGCCAAGCCAAGATACTGGAAGCAGTCAAAGGAAGACGATGTCTTAAAAAGTGCCGGAGGGAGCTTTGTGAATATCATCCGCTTTCTGCACAACACGGGTGTTCGACTTCTTCCCAGTATAGGATGGGAACTGTCGTGAAAAACTACCCCAGTCTCCTTCGCTCATCAACATCGTGCCGATGCCCGTTGTCTCCGTTCCGTTGAAGAAGACCACCACAAAGTCTACCTGTTGAAATGCGCACAGCGATTTAGACCATGAAGACGTCTACGGTTCCAGGATCAGACCATCTTTCCATGCAGTTTCTGCGAGCCGGAGAACAAGTCTACACGAGGTTCTAGCGTCGCATTCAACATCTTACCTTTAGAAGGAGAAGATTCCCGACCAGTGGAGAACATCAAGAACCGTCCTTCTGCTTAAGAAGGGTGAATGGGAACAAGCTTTCCACGAAAGTTATCCTCGCTCGCATATCTGGATACTGAATGAAGTCCAGCCCCAAGAACAAGCTAAATTTCGCAAAGAATTCAGCATACAACGTTTAGACGATTTTGAGGTTCATAGAATTCTGCCGTGAACAACGACTGCCTTTTGCTCCAACCTTCGTCGACTACGAGAATGTCTTTAATGGCGTCGAAACCAGAGCCATCGTGTCAGCTCTAGTAGATCAAAGAGTGGGCCCTGCTCACGTTAATATCCTTACGTGCTTACGTAAGGATAGCCGACTGTTTCGAAAACTGTACAACGACGACTCAGCTATTCCAAAACGTCATTTGCGAAGATGCGGAATTGAAAATGGAAGGCACTCCTATCATAAAGACGTTTTCTTACGTGTATCTTGGATGTTCGTTAAACATCGAGAACGACTTGAGGGAAGAGCTTAACAGGAGAAGAAGAGCAGGCTGAGCCGCTTTCGGGCCTCTAGAAAAAAGCCAGATCAACTGACAGACTAGGAGCTTCGAGCCCGCCTGTTCGACTCGAGTGTTCTCCCGGCGCTCTGTTACGCAGTTGAGACTTAAGGTGATACTGTAGCCGTCGAAACGCTAAGGTTCTTCTACTGGACTTTAGAATGCTGTTTTCTGAGGATGATCCGACACGAACACTATCTTGTCCGACTTCGCAGCACGGACATGAAAAAATGTTCCGTTTTCGTGACGTTTTCGTGACGGAATACATTGTGAAATCGAAGCATTGGTGGGCTGTTCACATTGTGAGAAGAACAGACGACAGATGGACACTAAAAAGATTAAAGTAGGTTCCTCGCGAAGCAAAGCGTCCCCGAGGAAGTCCTCAACGAGATGGGCAGACGTGTTCGTGGAACGGATGGACTAGCCCAAAAATCAGCTGGATACAATTTCGTAACTGGAACTCGTGGACGCAGCCATAAACGTCAGCCAAGAAAATTGTGGATATCTGAAGCGAGAACTGGAAAAGTGGAAACTACTGTGCTGGGCCCGCACGTCACGTGAAGCCGGACCATCTGAGCTTCTAAGTTAACCAAGTATATTTCTGATATATGAGCTGGATATACAATCCTAAAGCTAGAAACCAAATGTTCTTGTGATGTGGAAACGCACGAGCTGACAGTCGACGCCCAACGTAATTACTAATATAATGCTGTTACTTATAAAGTTGTTTCAAAGATGTTGTGTTAGTTTTGCAATTTTTAAGCAAAGCGCAGGTAGGCTGATGAAGTTGCATAGCAATGCTTGGGCGTGTCTCAGACAAATCACCGAAACTTCCGCAGGACAAGCCAAATTTGCAAAAGTTCCGCAGCATTTTGTTCACTATTGCAAAAATGAAAACGCTGAAAATCGGAACTTCCGCGGGATTTTCATGCCAAACTGGTTGAAAACCGGAACTTCCGCAGAACCTTCTTCAAAATCCTGCGGAAATTCCGAAAATTGCCAGAGGTTACGCAGCACTTTGGCCTGCCAGAACTTCCGCAGGACTTTGAATATATTGTCTCGTGATGTTGCCTCGCTAACAACTAGAGTACATTATCGAACATGTCAGCCGTAGCGTGGAGGATAGTAGGTGGGTCTCACAGTCAATAGAGGAAGGTTCAAATCTCCCTTCGGTGTTCTCTTTTGCTGTCGTGGTTGGCATTCTTCGAAACTTCCGCAGGACCTCATTTCGGAATTTCCGCAGCACGTTTACGGAACTTCCGCAGGTGACCCGGCGGAACTTTCGCAAGCGCTCTGCGGAAGTTCCGGTCATTTGTCTGAGGTGACAGAATTGTGTCCCTGCAGCTGTTGTTTGATAACTTTCTGTTGTCTGAGGGTCATATTGAGTCAGTAATTTTCGGTAAGCGATCTGCTTAACGGCATGTATGGAAACATCGCCTGGGCAACGCTTTCTCCCAATTCGAAATTCTCTGAGAGAGTGGAGGCTTTCATTAGTGTGTACTTCTACAAGATCCGTAAGAGTTGGAGGATATACCGCATTTGCACTGATTAACATCCCTTTAATCTTCGTGACTTTCCGTAAGCTATCTCTCTTCTCCTTATCAATATGTAAGCGAGCTTGTTCGCTTTCAGTTTGTTGAACAAGTACCCTAATTTCACGCGTACAAGGCGCACCTTTTTCAATTTTTCAAAAAAGCCGCTCAACCGCTTCAATGTGTTTCGAAAAGCGAACCTTGAACCGTTCAATTCTCTCAGGCAATACGGAGCCCGGTATAGGGTTCTTTGGTCGCGAAGTGTTGTGGCGTGTTTGGGCTGGCGAATTTTAGAAAAAAATCCCCCGCGTCTTGTACGCGTGAAAGTAGGGTAATAACCTTTACCTTTCATCCAATGAAGAATGCCTCTGACGAAGTGGCCTTTGAGATATGTATAGTTGCTGAAGTCAATGATGGATTTCCAACTCGAAAGTGCGATCGTTTTCTGCGAAACCTTTCTCGAAGGATGTTGTGGCGTGAGAAATAAGCTAAAGCGCTGCTAGTGGAAGGATTCGAACATTTAACCTCCCTCCTCTCCTCCTGCACTGTGCGATGAAAGACCGTGCTAGCGCTGCACTGTTCTGTCAGTGCACTACATGCTTCTATACCTAGTGATGTCTAACATGATTGAACATGTTTCGAGAAAATCGCGTCACAGATAAGGACTGCAGTCTCGATATAAGTCCCTGAGTTCGTCAACATGCATCTCATCCCAAATGGCCAAATTGGTTTGTATAAGCAGCGCTTTCACCGTTTACCTTGAATTACTACATCGTTTTGCAAACCATGTTAATAAAGGAAGGATACCAACATTAGTAGGCGATTGAAGATGACATGTCAATAGACGCGAATTTGTACGCTACTTACAAATCTGATTTCCTCTTTTGCGGAATAAGTTTCCGAAAGAAATTGTAGGCGTTCAAATGTCCAAATTTATCATAGTTTAGGTGGCCTAAAGTTGGCGAAAAGCTGTGCTAAAACATAGGAAAGTGGAAAATCATTTTTGTATCGATTATATTGTTTGCAAGGAAGGAACGAAGCCGGTGGAAATCGCATAGGTGTTGTTTTAGAGCTTTTCGCTGATCTTAAGCCAGTCAATGCTTGGCAAACCTGGACACAAGCGCTCATAACTTCTTTCGGAAACTTACCCCACAAAAAAAGAATTTGGAAACAGCGTTCAAAGGCGCATCTAACGATTTACACCTCAGATTCAATTGCCAACTAATGCTGGTATCCTTCCCTTGTAAGTCTGTTTGTATAGTGAAGATGTTGAACAATGTACTTACCGTCCCTTCCGTCCCTTCCTCCTGCTCTATCTGTGCAGTTGCTTCTAGCATGCGGTGGCTTCCATCTATGCAAGTGCAAGATTCTATTGAAGGCTCTTCGGTAGTCTTTGCTGAAAGTTCTACTTCTAGCTTTCCCTGTGTTCTTTTACTTTTGAAAAATGTGCAAGAAAAATCATACCTCACGATGTAGTAAACGAAGAAATTGCAAGCACATGCAAGTGATGAAAAAGCACCGGACGACAATTTAATCATGAAGCGTTGATTGAAGTTCCACCACCCCAATAACTGTATAGCAAAGCTTGACAGCGCTGTGCTCATCCAACCAAACACCACTGTTGCGCTTATAATCATCAATGAACGATAGATACTTTTTTTGCTAGTACTAGCTGAAATGCAACAAATTATTCTAAAGTTCTGCTGCATGCGATGTGAAGTTGGTAATTGGTGCATGTGCTTCTAAGCTTTTTCTCGCAACTTGTTCCATTAAATTTTTTTCTTGAAACAAATTTTATACTACTGAAAAAGTCTATTCATGCTCTAGCTAAGGATATTTGAAAGGAATTTCTAGCCTTATCTTTGAAAATCTAAAGACAAATAGCCGCACTTGTAACCGGAATGTCATTGCATTTACAGCTTGGACAGGTTACAAAGGCAAGCAAAGTTTTTTCAAAGATTCCATGCGATCAAATTGTCTACATAATGTTCAATCAAATTCATTTCAAATTATCTAGATTGAGATATCGAAACCTCAGCATGGATAGTCGTTGCGCATTTCCAAGACTATAAATTTCCTTTTGGAAATCAATGCTAAAGCTTTGCCAGCTTCTTGAGCATGAGCAGGGCAGGGCATCTTATTCATAGTTTTCGCAAAATATTTAGCTGTGCTGGCAGAAAATTGGAAGACTTCGAGGCCTTCATACTGAAATACCGAAGGAAGTTGCCAACTTTAAATTTTCATTTTTTCTTTTGCAAAGTCGTTGTCCATGCCTACATATACCTTCATTTGTACTACTGGCTTTCGATAACATGATAGAAGACTGAGTATATACTTATAAACCGAAGGAAAACATGTATTGTCAAACAGGTTTCAAAAGCTGCTTTTCCAGTACATGTTATTCTGCTTATCTGTCATAAAAGCATAGGAGTGTGCGCTATGTTGTTAAAGATTTGCTGCTTCTGATACTTCTACCGCACACACAAAGTGTGTTCACAAAGTTAAAGCACGTCAAAGTGAAAGCACGCATGACGCACTTTGCAGCAAATTGATGTCTGCATTTGTTGAATGTTGCAGAATAAGTCTCGCATTAGGAAAAACACAATAAGTGATAATCTACTCTATTCTAGGTACGCGAGGCACTTCTCGATAGAGCAAAGTAAGCTCTATGACGTGGCCTTTGAAAACAGCGTCCACTCAAAATTTAAACTTTCATATTTTTATTGTTATCGGGCCTTTTCACGACCTTGATTTCGGATATGAGGTGCAAATCTCGGCAAAGCCTCAAAATTGCGCCTTTCTAAAGCCCAGCTATGGCTGAAGTGGACGAGTGCTAGTTACGTCGTATGTGTGACAGGAGATCTCTCGTCTGCAACAGTGCCACATCATACAGTATGCGTCTCGAGTTCGCTTGTCATGTAAGAAAGCGTCACAAGGCAATCCGCGGATATGTGAAGCGCAAAGAATAAACGAGGCGCAAAATGTTGCAGGTGCTTTTCCTCTTTTGGACGCAACATTAGAAGACCGGACCAACGCACTTGTTTTACCTTGACGGACTGCTCTAGAATCATAGTAACCTGCTGTGCACGGATTCTGGGAGAAGGCTGCTTTCAAGCTCTATAAAGTGTTATTACATTTGCACCATCTTCCACGCTAAGTCCAAAACTTAGAGCTCATTTTATTGCCCGAAAAAAAAACTCCACTCAAAAAATCCTACGGATTCTCTACTTGCTCACGCATAGGCATTTCATATTAGACATTCGTGTATACAGTTACTGCATTAATTCCTCTGCCTAAATTAAGAAAAATCTTTGCGTTTATCACGCTAATACTGAGCTCTTGGCACAATTTTTTTTAATACTCTAGGGATAAAGCACTGTTTGTATGAGTGTCTGACACGAGTTTATAAGCAGCTAATAGGTTATACGCAAGGTTTTTTGAGGGATCTGCGAAACGGGACAAAGTAGCAGCAAATGCTTCAACCATTATTGTGAAAGGAAAAATATGACCTAATGCGGTTTCAACACGTTTGAGTAGAATGTTATATCTTAATAGACTTCTAAATGTCATTGTCGGATAAAACTAACGAATTCTTTGTAGCTAACATCCTTATAGCTCTTCCCTCTGCGAACCTACGTACTGTTACCAACCACAATACTATTCATACGTAAAGAAATTCCATTATATTCCAAACTTTACGCTACCCATATTCACTAAGGGCTGCATGTCTTCTGTCTGTCTTTTGTCCGCAGGTCTTTCCTCTTTGGTTTTCTGTCGGTTTTCTCACTTCAAATTATATTATACAGATGCTGAGAAAAAATGCTTATAGTTATATATACGTGGCTAATAACTTCGATTAGAAATTAAGCTGTCTTAGGGACGCATGCATCAACATCCTCTTCCCCTCCCCCTTTGGGTGGGGAGGGGATCGCAGTTTGAAAGAACAGCTTCATATCCTGAAGTTCCAGATATCTGAATCTCACGCTTTCTCCCTACCAGTAAGTATTCCCACCAACCTTCACTATGAACGAATCAAACAGAAGGGAGATTTTTTTATTCAAAGTCAATGAAAACATCAAAGTTTATTGATCATCTAACCCAATACTGCTAAGTATTAGGTCATTCCGAAAGTAATTTCGCTTTTTTCAAACGGACGCCACAGACGATGGAACAAAGATTTCTAAAAGTACATGGTAGCATTCGATGCAGAATTTCATTCCCTTTCTAAAGGTTATGTAATTGTTGCAAAACAGTCAAAGAGCGTTCAGAAAATAACCAAAACCTGCAACCCATGCTTTTTGAGATGGTCAAGTTTTATGATTTTTTAAAACTTTTATATCAATCCTCAGAAGGATTGCAAGTAACGATTCGATAGAGTAAACCTTACAGAATACAGTACTCCTTTTTTCGCTTCCTCGCATCTCGCCGTAATTTTTTAAAAGACTTCTTAAGAGAACCATCGGATTTTGGCAGGCCCACCTCAGCCACAATCGCATCAAACATCGTAGTTTTTTGGAATTTGAGACTGCCAAGATAGTACTATGAGTTAGCATAAATTTTACAAAACATGTGAGGGTTTACGGATTCGAAAAATCAAATTTCGAGTTTTTCGGATACAGCCTGGGGCTCGCTAATGAAATGAATTATAATGATTTCATCCCCGGAAACTAAAGAATCGGAAATAAAAAACACCTGTCAGAAAGAGGAGAAAATGCTGCATCGAATAGTGCGCGAGCTGCTCTTCTTTTGATGTTCTACGAGGATTTAGCTGCCCAAGTATGAAAATCGGTAGCATCAGTTAAAATTCTGTTAAAAATGTATGACAAGCTGTGGAAAGGAGAAAAAAGTAGTACTTATTCTATGAGGTTTACTCTATCGAATCGTTACTTGAACTCCTTCTGAGGATTGATATGAAAGTTTTAAAAAATCATAAAACTTGTCCATCTCAAAAAGCATGGGTTGTAGGTTTTAGTTATTTTCTGAAAGCTCATTGACTGTTTTGCAACAATTACATAATCGTTAGAAAGAGAATGAAATTCTGCATCGAATGCTACCATGTACTCTTAGAAATCTTTGTTCCATCGTCTGTGGCATCCGTTTGAAAAAAAGCGAAATTACTTTCGGAATGACCTAATATATTGCTGGCGAGAACAAATGAGTTTCTTAAATATCGAAATCTTCGATAAACCCCTACTTTCCAGTGGTTCATCGAAAACTTCATGACTCCAAAAAATTATTTGTTCTTATCAAAAACATGCTTAGCATTGTTCGGTTTAGAGGATCAAAATAATTTTAGAATATTATCAACTTTGAAGAAAGAAAAATGTCTCCAAAAAAGATGATCGGTTGCCGGAGCTGATTAGGGGACCATACAAAAGGCTAGAACACGCGGCTTATACAACCTTCTCGCTTCTTTCAATATGTTTCCGGTGAGGGATGCTGGGAGTACTTACTGATAGGTAGACAGCGTTGCAATCCAGATATCTGGAGCTTCAGGATATTTTTTTAAGGCTGTGATCCCCTCCCCGGCGGAGATGTTAATGCATGCGACCCTAAGACAGCTTAATTTCTAATTGAAGCTATTAGCCACATATATAAAAATGAGCATTTTTCTCAGCATCTGTAGAATATAATTTGAAGTAAGAATACCGGCAGAAAACCAAGAGAAAAGAGTCTGGCGCCCATTTTTGATTGGATACTAGAATTATCTAGTTAAAAATCGCTAGTCGAATGAGCATTAACATTATGCCAGCGTTCTCCTTTCAGAACCACTGGCTCATCTCTTAGCTCTTTCGCTGCAGCGAATTGATGATGCTCTAGTACTTGCAAACAATTATGACAATGAAATAGCACCATTCTCAAAGAATGGGCAGGATTGCAGGGTGCTTTACATCACGTACATTTTAGCACACGGTTTGCGAGCGGTATAAAAGACGATCGTAACACATTTTGCGCTAGGTGGAGAGAATGGATTATTGTTTGGGTTTTTCGTAACGTGTAAGCTGGTGCATATTGCAAGCAATGATTTTAGCTTGGATAAGTTTCCCTGGAGAATAGCATCTGAGTAATGAAAGTTATCAATCCCTGAGTTAAAAAATTCTATTTACTTAATTTGGATTTTGGCTCAGCTGAGCTAGCTGAGCTTGGCCATCGTTCAGAAATAAAATCAAAAATGTACTATGCATTGGAAACATGTATGCCTCTGTTCAACGGTATAAATGTAGTATAAGTGAGAAAAGTAACTCCGCCCCCTTGTGATATGCTCCGTCGAACCGGCAAAAAAAGAAATGCTGGAACTTGCTCAAATTCACGAAAATTCGTGCAAATTCTATTACGACTGAAATGTGCGAGGCTTGCCGTTGAAGAGGTAGAGCCCTTCCTTAGGGGAAAGTCCGTGAAGGTTTCGCGGCAATCTTTGAGCTTTCCTGCGCTTTGAACACGAACGAAAGTTTTTGTAGAAGGCAATGATGAAGAATTTTTGAGCTTTTTATATAAACACAAATGAAAAAACTGCTTGCATTAGCATTCAATTTCAGGGTTTAACACAATGACAACATTGCGAGGCACTTTGTTAGTTCAGTTTTTTTTAGAGAAAAAAGCATCGAATGATATAATGACTACGCATAGTATGGTATCTTCTTCAGTTAGTCTAAACGTCTTTCACATGCAATTTGAAAAAAAAACTGCAAGGAAGCAGTTTTTGTGCTATTAATAAATTTTGTGGTTGGTTACTCCGTAAGCCTTATTACTAAAAAAAATGTCAGAACGTCCCTAGTCGATGTGCATTGTGCCAGTCTGCATGTTTTTCGTTTTAACACATTGACGATCAAAGCCTTTCTCGGACCAGCCAACATTTTTCAGATAAAATCACGCACAATTCCATTTACAGTACATCTACAACAGCGTTGGGATGCTGTCAGAAACCGTAGAGGTTGTATCTAGATTCAGCATAAAAGAAAACTTGCAGAGCTGATTTGAAACAAATTAGTAGCCATTTCAATGGGAGTCATGGTGTGTCAAGCCTTGACACACCATGTGTGTCAAGCGGTCGTCAATGTGTTAATATTCGCGCAAAGTTCACCAGACAATTATCTTCTTGGTAATACACAGCATAATTAGAATTATATAAATGTCCTAAGGAGTTGTTCTTTCCACACTTTGAAATGAAAAAAAACAATACTAACTTTGATTAAGACTTATTTGCGCAGCGCAACATGTTCAAAATACCCTCATCTCACTCAAACACTTGTTTACTTTCAGAATCCCCCTAATAGTGGTCTAAAATTTTGTTCGAATGCTTTTGGCAAATTTTGAATGAAAAACGACCTGATATTAATCTAAATCTGCAAAGAGTAGCTATAGAATTTAATGCAGATACAAGTGCAACTACAGTCGCTAAAACGTTTGAGGGTGATGCTTAATAAAGCGCATAAGAATTGACAATGTAATCATTCTACAAATGACTCACTAATACTTTTTTTTCTCAAGCAGATAATAAATGCGATATAACATGACATCGTGACCAGCGAGGCAGCAAACATACTTGCCATAACGCAGAAGTATACGCTGCCATTCATCAGAGGCATGGACATGGTGCATACCGATGACCTTGAAATATGTGCATTGTTTTCAAGTATTATCTTCTTTAAAATTCGCATTCAAGAAACTCCACGTTACAGCACACGTGCCTCATATAAAGAGCATATAGCGTCAACGTAACATTTACACACAGATAGACTCACTCGTTTTCCACACTTCGATAAGCCCAAATTGTAATAACGAGTGCAAATACTGCGGACACCACACAAACTTTGTATATATATCCCATCCGCCTATTTTCTTTACCAGGCAAGCTGAAAAATGCAGTTCGTTACAAATCTTCGTAAATGCTATAACACTAACCAAAGAGAGTGCAGCGAAAGCAGTCGTTCGATAGCTATTCCTGGTAATAAAACAAAAGAAAAACACATGCTGAACAAAGAAGGAGTCTGCCAGCGCAAGCAACTCTCCATCGACATTACCCGATCTTTCAAGCTGCAAAAAATAGTACAAATTACGATATGTGACGAAATTCTGAGATACTTTGGATACGTAGACATTGTTGCAAAAAATCAGCTAATATCTTACTTAATCACAGCAGAGAGACGTTACCAACCAAAGGAAAAGTGTGCAGCGCAATGTTGGACCGCGCAAGAATTTTTCCAATTTTTGGTTCACATGAATTACAAAACGGTGCACATGCTTACTAGTAAACAGCCATATTCTTCTTAAACTTCATGAACATTTGGCAGCTAGCTTTGTTTAAGAGGTGTTTGAGGTCGTTAGCCCGCAAATTTTGAAAAACAACACAAAATTTTTTTGAACGTAATGTCATGCCCCCCCCCAGTTTTTTGATAGAAAATTCTGCTCCCTCCCTCTTCCCCCATCGGATATTTTTTCAGACCGCCAGCGCGAGGCCGCGGCAGAGGACTTGATTGAATTATTGACATCAGTAGCGTAAAGGCTCCACGAGTCTGTTTACCTCGTATTGGCCGTACTTCCCGCTAAGGAGGGAAGGGGGGTACTACGAAAAGTTTTAAAACTCTGTATCTCTCGCTTCCTAACCATATCTCGAAATCTTTTAAAATTTCTTATTCCTCAACATAATGAAATTCTCGGCTAAATGCCATATAAGCCAAATTTTCTGTCTTTTTTATGATCCCTCCTGAAACCTCGACATCACCGCTCTTTGTTGAAGTCATTTATCTTTCTAAAAGCTCAGTGAGAAGATCGGAAAGTGTGCTGAGGAACTGCAGTGTTAGGCTTCATATATACCTGACGATGGATCGCTATAGCTGACGATAAGACGCTGCCAGCAGCAAGGCTTTTTGCGCGTATCGATTGACGCCAGACGACGCTATTGCTTTGGCTGCTGCAGCCAACGCGAAGAGACCCGCTATAGCTAGCGATGTTGCGCTGCTTTTTGCTGCTCTCTGCTGCTCGTTGTTGCAACAACAACAACAGAACTTTTGCGAGCAAAAACAAATTCATACTGGAGTAATGATGGAAAGCTGGAGCGCTTTAACGACTTAGTGGGAAGTCACCAGTATACCTCAACACATTAACGGCAGCTATGACTTAGATATGTAGTTCAGTTGTTGCCTCAAGCACACATCAAAGCTCTACTGCGACACTCGCTTGGATATTTCTCAAATAATCATGGTTTTCTCAGTGTATGCAATAATTGATCTGTTATTTTATGTTTGTTATAAAGAAAATATTTGATGAAGATAGGATTACTTTTCTGGACCTCGTCGTATTTTTCACTTTGATATTTCTCAAAACTTACTTTCCCAATGGCCCAAGCTAAGCGTAGTAATGGGTAATACTACTTCGCTCTTGGGTATTTTTCCGTTATCCGGACTCATTTTTTCAAAGAAAGATATTGCTTCTATCCTTGTGCCATATTTTGTCTCACGTCCCAGGAAGAATTGTCAACCTTCTGCCACTTGACAAAAAAAAATTTGACATGTCATCTACATGCTCAACAAGTTTTACCAAGAGTTTGTGTTACCCTCTCCGGCGATGTATGTTCAATCTGTTTCTTTGAATAATTTGACCTCATTTCGTCCAAACAGTTTCAAAGTGAACATTGTTATGATAATAACGACATACTGTCATCGATGAACAAATTAGACTTGCTTAGGATAGAGGAGTGTGCTAGGATTCCGTCTCTAACAGACGAGATAAGCAGCAGCAAGGAACTTCAAGCTATCATTTACAGTCTTTTCGGCTAAATTCGCATGGCAAGAAGGGTTTGAAGAGAAATAATTTTCAAATAACTGCTAAAAGCAAGCAAGATGTTCTAGAATAACTTCGTGATTGTTTTGTGCTTATGTAAAACAGTTAAATAGCTTTGATGATCACAAATTCTCTTGTATCTCACTGGAAATGGTTGTGAAAAAAACATGTCCAAATGGACCAAATCGTGTCAATTTTTCCGCACGTGGCAAGGAGGCAGTCCTCGTGAAATCTATGAATAATTACTCTTAGGCTACAGAACTATAAGATGAGAGCTGAAAAAATGGGTTCGGATAACGGAAAAGTATCCGTTCTTGCACTCAAAGCGTACCCAGCGCAGCAGCCACGAGCACTAAAGGCAGCGCAGACATCAGCGCTTCGCCAACACCTCTACACCTCTATCATCAGGTATATCTAAGCCTTACCCATATTTATGGCACTGCAAGTGGGGATTTACCGAAAAGATATATAATAAATTCAAAATTCCATTCCCCGCGGGGAAGAGACGCCGCAGTTCAAAAGAAAGCTACCCTGAGGCTTCAGATCTCTGATTTCATGCTGTCTATCCAGCCGTAATTATTCTTAGTTTTACCATAAACACATCGAACAGGAGCGAGATGTGAAAACCACATTTTCCAGCTTTCTCTATAATCCCATCATCATAATCTGCAACGACCGACGGTCTTCCCTTCAAAGTTATTTTCCCTTCTTTGAAGTTAATGAAAGCATTTAACAGTTGTACTGATCATCTAACTCAACAACAGTACTGAACGTTCTTCTGATAAGAACAAAAGAGTCCAAAATATCGAAGTTTTCGATTGAAATTCTTATTTCAAAGTCACAGAAAGTAAGAAGCAATTCGAGTACTTTTCAAAGAAGCTCCGCCTCTTCTTAAGAAGTAATATTCCTTTCCGGATTCGCTAACCTTCCGCAAATCAAATGACAATAATTTTATTTCATCAACCAGAGCTGTACACGAAAGTTCGATTTGAGCGGCAAACGTCCACTGCATTTTTCCTTGATTTGCATTGTTTGATGAGGAGTACAACGTCGCAACATTTAAAAAATTTGCTAGATTGCACTTGTTCTATCCACTCTCCAAGAGCTTTATCTAGAAACTGTTGAGTTGGACATGGTAAAAAACATGGATTCAAAATTTGGGCAATTATTTCATTGAAGACAGAAAAATGATACGAAAACATGAAGAGAAAAAACTGAGTAGATTATTTGGGACGTTTGGATTCGTCCGTTCGTAACAGATATTCCTTAAGGGCCGGGCATACTTCACGCGATTTCAGTCGCGACGCGATTTGGCAATATTCCAACTGTTTATAACTCACTGTAAGCACATTTTAAATGTACAGAAGACATGACATTTTACCAATCCACATAAGTTATATACACTATGCATGTGCATTTTGCTAGTGTTGGATCTGAAGACTTCTGGCGAATTGCCAAATCGCGTCGCGACTGAAATCGCATGAAGTATGCCCGGCCCTTTAAGAGAATTAATATTGAATCATTGCTGAGTTGAAATATTTCTTTTCAGAATGTGAAGATTTCTCATATTTTTATGAAGCTATCAAGCAATAAGCCGTACTTATCATTAAATCTGAATCAAAACCCTTGTTTTTGAATACACTTCAAGTATCACGGTGTACAACAATTTTTTCCATTTTTTATTTTTCGCACATTAAGCCGTACTCACGACTTTCTGTACTTTTGGCCTATCTTGGTGTAAGTAAGTTTCTCGAGTTCTAGACGTGAAAAAATAAGAAAATACAGATAGATATAAGATGTAGAAAGTACATGCCTGTGCAAGTAGGAAGTCCGTAGGAAATTTTTGAACGGAAATATGATTTTTTCTCGGATTTTTGAACATTTAAATCTTTTTAGATCTTGGCTTCGAACTTCATGCAGAACAAACTCTGAGCATACATTTGGGTGCTGTTTTAAAGCTTGATTTGCGCTGTCGAATGTGACCGCAATACCTGTTTTAAAACAAGAAAGATATAAGTTATTGCGAAACTACCCAAATTTCACGCGTATAAGGCGCACTTTTTCGATTTTTCAAACCAGCAGCTCAGCCGCTTCACTGTATTTCGGAAAGAGATCTTTATACCGCACGATTCTTTAAAGCAATATACAGCACGTTATAGGGTCTCTTGGTTGTAAAGCCCCTTGGCGTGTCCAGGCTGGTCGATTTTGGAAAAAAATCCCTTGCGCCTTATACGCGTGAAATTAGGGTACTTTGGCCAATGCGACTTACCCTCAATTCAAATGGATTGGCGCCTGGAAGGCGGGGCTTTGTGTCCCACTGGCTAGAGAATTATCGGAGAGCACGCGCTCGAGAGAGACGCAGAGTGCATTGCAAGCGCGAGCGGCCCTAATTGGTCACAAAGCCCCACCTTCGGGCCGCCAAACTGGTTGAATCAAAGATTAAACTGCTGTTTATTCATAGCGCGTTCCGAAGTCTTAGGTATGTTTGAATTCGTCAATTACTGACTGAAACTCATTTCTACACTGACAGAAAGCGAAAAGCTTCTATTTTGCAATTGTGACATCAATTACCAAAAACTTCTGTTTATTACGACACACTGCCTCGCTATAGTACATATAAAGAAATCTTTTGATTACTGAGATAGCAGTCGCAAAAGAGAGAAATATTCAAGCCAAGAAGGTTTAGGCATTTTATACAAAAAAATATTGTCGAAGTGAACCAATTTGCAAGCTAGTCCCTTTTAGGAAATTTCGAGATTGCCAAGAATTTTGAAGAATTCTACATCTCAGTAATTCGTACAGAGATAAGCTATTTGCGCAAATCTTTTATCTTCTCTCTTTCCCCCCCCCCCCCCCCATCCCTGGTTCACTGATCTCTGACAATTTTCGTACGTCAATCATGGTTATTTGCGTACAAAAACCCTGCGTTTTATATATCGCTAAAAGAAAAGACTTACACTTCGTGTGAGATGATAGTTATAACCCATCCAGCCTGAAATATGCTGTCACATGTAGCGAGTATCGCGACCATCAAATTTGTTGTGCTTTGAAGGTGTCTGGAACAAAAATTTTACACTGTAGAACAAAACAGCCAAATGGAAACCTTTGAAAAAGACTTACGGCGTTGTTAATGTAGTGAAGGAAAGCAAAGAGTTTCCCAAGCAACCTATAAGCGGCACCGCTATATAATACACTTTGAAGATAAAAGGTATGAGCGATTCATCCATAATAGAGACGCAAGGATTTTTCTGAAAAGTGCAAATCAGCTGCTATGTTGCTCTTTTCCAGAAGATACAGAGTGTCCCAAAAAAATGTGCCTACTGTTTGATTGTAAATAACTCTCTTGTAATGATGTGTTTCGAGAAGCTTTAGGTGCCATTTTATAGAGCGAGGTTGAACTTAGATTTACAGCATAGAGCGAATCACTGATCTCTCTTCACTACTGTAGGATTACGGTAAGAACTTCCAACATATGGATTTAATGTGAAATTTACTATTTAATAAAACTTTTTTCAAAAATTCTGAAAAATCGTGTATTAGGGTTTTCGCGCATGCTGATTCTATCTAACAACTTTTTACGAGTGTTTTCAGCTTTTTTGACGCTGTAATTACATTTCTGACAAATGCTTGGAGCTGAGTTATTACGATTTATCGGGGATAACTTTGGAAAGAAGCATCATAGAAAAATGGAAATTTCAAAATCGGAATCAGCAGCTCCCATTCCGTAGTACAAGAGTTTTTGGCTTGTTTGGTTCTGTTCGGAGGCAGAATATAGCCTCCAATGGCCCTAAAATCCTTGTCGAATTTTGTACCGTAATCCTACAGTAATGAAGAGAGATAGACGATTCGCTCCATACTGCAAATCTAAGTTTGACCTCGCTCTACAAAACGGTACCTAAAAGATCTCGAAACACTACATTACAAGGGAGTTATTTACAATCAAACAGTAGGCACATTTTTTTGAGACACCCGTATATTACAAACGGAAAGACAAAGAGAAATAAACTAAGAACTGTCATCAAGATCTGTGAAAAAGAATTGCATAAAATCATAATTTTTTTCATTTTTTCGGCTTTCTGTACGTCTCATCCAAATGTAGGAGCACGCAGCAGCTTTGCTTTGAAATGGGGGTGACAAGGGAAGGATACCAATTTGAGTTGGCAATCAAGATTCAAATTACTAAATGTGTTCTTGGACGTTCTGCGGAACAACTCTCCTATCCGAAAGAAGTCATGAGTGTTTGTAAATTCAAAAATTCAAGCCTTAAGTGGTATAAATAGCGAAAAGCTTTACAAAGGCAGCTATGCGGTGTTCCACTGGCTATATTCCTTGCTTGTAATCAATATTCTTAGTATAAAGATGATTATTTTTATTCATGTGTTTTTACAATTTTCCGTTAAATTGATGGCGCTCAAACCTTAACAAATTTAGACATTCAAATGCTCATATCGTCTTTTTAAGTGTTACAAAAAAATTTGAAATCAGCGTTGGTTGGTATCCTTTCCTTGTAAGCAAATTCCACTTCACTACATGTAAAATAGAAAATCATGGTAAGTCTGTTCATGCTTTTTTTAGCGAGCCTTGTTGACCTTACCGCGTTTGTTTGTTTGCTTGAAGTTGATTGCATGGTCGGCATCAGCAACATAATTCGCCTTTTTGGACTATTCTAATTTTCTCTTTTAAAAAGCGGAGACTTGCCGTTTTTTACCTAACTATACAATGCAAATGTTATACATTCGCTATTCGCCTGAGGTTTCTATGGGACATAGATGGGCCTCAGCGATTAGCCTTCGAGACAAAATTCCTCAGCTCATAATTTTCAGAAATTATAAGTTGCAGCATTTTGAAGCACAAGACCTCGCAATCGTTTTTGAAACAAATCTGGTAGTTCTCATAGAATGAGGGCAAGGAAGGTGAAAGAAAGGAAGTTTGAATTTTAAAGACTTATTACTTGAGGCGTCTAACTCCAACTTGAGCAAAGCTTGCGAAAACAAGGCATATATCAGAAAATTTAAAAATCCGGGCTTTTGGTTACCATAAAATTTATGGAAAATGATTTCGCTTTAGAATTAAGCTTTAAAAGAGGTTACAAAAACGTACATTTATAAAGAGGTAACCTAGTATCTGGGCCTTAGTTCGAGTCCAATCACGCGCTGCGCACACCAAATTTGGTGTCATGCCATTGTGTTAAATTGTAAACAATGCTTTTGTTTGTGGGCTAGAGCATGCCGGTTGCATGCCGCAAGTATGCCGGCGGCATGCTTCCGGCTCTTCGCTGCGGCCGCAAAAACGAAACTCGTTTAAAGCATCTTTTCTTTCCGGAGCAAGAATGGATCTTAAATTCTGTTAAAGATTGGTTCTCCATAACCAAACGAGCACTGTCATACATTTGTTAAGCGTAGTTATGCAACATTTCAAGGCTCTATCAGTGTGCAGAGCGTACTGATGTTAAAGTCTAACTGTTCATTTCTTTTTTTCGAAAAAAAAATTACTTCAAGAGAAGAAAAGTCGCACTCATTCTCAAAAGACTTCAGAGCACAGTTAACGGATTTGTTTGGATATTTGTCTGTTTTTCTTTACAAGCTAAGTAGTAACTCATTCGAGATAAGCTAGCACAGTGCCAGTTAATCACATGTGTGCGTCTCGAAATACAACCGATTTACAACGAGAGATGAGTACCCAACTGATGTCCAAGTGTTAGCCCGCCCTATGGCAAAAGCGCAGGAAAATAAGGAGATCGAGAATGGATCTCTCCCGACTTCTCTTTTTGTCCTTTCAACATGCAACGAAGCATTTTCCTGACAAAACTTGGAAGATATCACAAGCTTGAATTGAATATTCAACTATGCATGGAGTGCGAAAGGAGTTTTGTCGCACTCCATGCCTAGTTGAACTTTTAATTCGAACTTGGAAGATATTACAGCTCGAATGAAGAATTATTCAACTATGCATGGAGTGCGAAAGAATGACGCACAATAATGCACCAGCGTACATGGGTCGTATTGTCAGGGAAGATCTTCAGTAACGAAATATTACTGACCGTGAAAAAAACTGGTAGACTCGACAGAAAACTATGTTTTGATGTGATAATTTTATTTGAGGCGAACTAATGATCATTGAAAGAAGAAAGTGACATCTGACAGGAAGCGACGTCCCCCGTCCCTCGTTATAAGGGGGCTGCGCGCGAACGAAGCTGGGCCGGTAGTAAACCTGTCGAAACGCGCAGCTCAAACTCAGAGTCAACTCTGAGTTAACACGCACCTTTCAGGGACCATTAACACCAGCATAAGCAAACCAAATTGGGGAAAGGGTTATATGGCAGGATACCCCGCAATAGTAGCTAAGTCGTTCTACGCGAGACGCTACGCGAGTTAACGATTATTACGGCACATGATCACGAATATGTTATCCATTTGTGATTGCGGGACATTTAGCCGGGTTACGGTAGCTATACGGTAGTTGGGCGAAGATCACAAAGTTCGCTGAAACTTGGTGTGGTGGGGTTATTTGCCATGCTGATAATATGCTAATGATTTTGCATGAAAATGCAATTCATGGTTTTCAGCAGCCAGAAATCAGTGCCGTATTCCATCTTGAACCTCTAAGCAGCTGCGTGCTGTGAAATTAAAGCCATGAGTCAACTCTCATCCATATTTTCCACAAACACATGTACCCTAAGTGGAGTTATAGAACGACCCTATTGCCACAAATGTCTCTGTCTTCTTGAACTTCATTATCATTTTCGCATGACCTTTTCAACCATGCAACTATCAGCATTGAGAAACTAATACATAATTCCAACCACCTTCTTCTCCAGAAATGTACACGTATCAGATTTTCGCAAGAGATTTTTTCACAGAAACAAACCATGAATTACGCCTTTTGCCAGTTTGTGATATCGCAAGTTTTCATCGAATGAACTAATATCGAATGATATTTTGAAGATTATCGAAAGAATGAATAGCGAATATTGAACTTAAAAATTCCCAAATGTACGAATAACTTATTTTCGTTTCTTATATTATTCGAATTTGATTACTCGACTATGAGCACATTCCAAAATTCGGACTTTCGATTATCCGAATAACCGAACTTAATCGAATGAGTATTCGAATAAACGATCAACTGAATATCATCAAATATCGAACTAATTATTTGACTACTCGCATGCAATATTCGAATATTCAATCGCAATAGCCGATTTGAAAATTCGAACAAGGATTTCCGAAACTTCTCAAATATTTGTATAGTTGGATTGTATAGTTGTCTTTTTTCCTCGCATATTCGAATATTCGAATAATTTATTCTTCCGAGTTGTCGAATGAACGAAATATTCGAGTAAAGAACACTCATCAGCCAGCCAGTGGCGGTCCCAGGATTTCTGTCTGGGGGGAGGGGGGGGGGGAGGCACCAAAAAAATTTTTTGAATGAAGGTGTGCTTCTCAAATTTTTTGCGGCCCCGTACCTTTTAAAATGAAGAGAAAGGGGCGTGGCGAGAGCTACGCCTCCGAAAAATTTTTTTGCAAGGCTAATTTGAATTTTTAAAAAATTCAAAAACTATATTATCTACATAAATAAACAAGTCACTTGCACTTTTTTGTAACCCACGTAGGTGAATTCCAAAAATTTCGCGACCCATTCTCGGGAGAAGGGAGGGCGCCCGGTCCGTCACTGCAGTTAGCCGATAGTATAATATTATCAAAATGATAGAGGCATGAAGATAGCTGAATTTTGAGACTTAAATTATGTTTTGTCAATAAAGCAGTCACCTCTAGTTATCCTATTTAGAAATGCAGCTGGGAAAAACAATGGGGGGGGGGGAGTATGTATAGGTATTTAGTGAATTCACTGCCTAGAGCAAAGAGGCACCATGCCTCTTGACGTGTATGAACACGTAGGATATAGGCAACGAGTACTAATGGCGGCAAAATGGCGGTGGTGATAGGGTGCTGTGTAGCCTAGTGGTCTAGTAGTAGGTACTTCGCTCAGAGCAAAGGAAGTTCAACTCCCGACCATGTAGAAGTGTTTTGCGATGAAGCGTGTAGTACTCAGACACTGAGACCGGCCGAGCCGCGGCCCATTTCCGGCTGGAATTTCGCAGCGTCCGCGGACCAGCCGGTGAAGGTCCGCGGACCAGCCGGTGAAGGTCCGCGGCTCAGCCGGAAAACGGCCTCGGCTCAGCCGGAGCTGGTTGTCGGGCCATATAGTTCATTCTAGCTCGGATACA